TGCAATATGATGATATAAAACCTTAATAAAAATGCACTTTTAAGTACTAATCAGTAAACATAACTAAACAAATAATGAAAAAAACAAGTATAAAATTTGATAAATAAAAAAATTGAAAGAAACCTAATTTTATAAATTATTTTAAATTAAAAATAGCAGTTAAAAAAATAAGTGAAGAAGTTGATGAATGATAAAATTGAAAAAAAAAAGTTCATAAATTATTTCAAATAAATAAATAGCAATCAAAATAATAGGGGTTAAATCTAATAGATAAAAAAAATTTAATTAAAAAATAATAAAAAAAAAATAAATAACAATAAAAAATAAAGAACAAAATTAATATAAAATTTAAATTAAATTAAATTTCTAATAATAAAATTGAAAAACAATTATTAAAAAAAAAATAGCAATTAAAAGATTAAAAATCAAATTTGATATAATTAAAAAATAACTTGATATTTTTAATTTTTTTTTGCAACTTCTTGAAAATAAAATATTGTTCATTAACTAACTTTTTAAATGATAAATAAATATAAAAAATTTGAAAAAATAATTCTCAAGAAACTAATTTTCATAAAATAAACAGAACCCTAATTTAATTTATATAAAACTAATATTATACTAGGAAGTCATAAGTCCGAACCAAGTTTGATATTAGTGAAGAAACCTTTGATTTGAGACTAAGTCTTTGATCTTTATTTGGATGCATTAAGATACATTTATAAACATAAAATATTGACCATTAAATGGGCACGAGTGTGATTCAAACCCAAGTCATACGTGATGGTAAGAAATACATTTATCTGATTTTTTACATGCATGTTTCTAACAAGTAATCATGACCTTAATGTTATTGAAAAACTTATGTTTAGGAAATTATTACAACTATATATTAGATCAATTAATTGAATTTGGGTGAGTCTTGACGTCATGAAAATAGACAAGATGCATACTCTTTTTTCATGAGGGCAAGTTGCTCGCAGGATAAGAGATTAGCAAAGTGCTATGTACTTGTGTGGTCGGCTCACTCCCTCTTGACGTGGGCTCTCCTTCTATTCTCAGGAGGAAACTATGTCCAATGGAATAGGTAACTTGGAAATTGGATAGGATTATCCTTTTCATCTCTACCCCATATGAATGCTCATGAAATCAAAGCCATAAATAGAGCCTAATATACTATAAATTCAAGAAGGTGAAGAGGGAAGGAAGGCTAGGTCCTTTGTCACATAGAAATTTTCAGTTTAGGTTTTTTTGTTTTTTAGTTTTTCCTAGTCATGATAGTACCATAAGAGATAGTCTTTGTATTCCTTTCTTTCTTGCCCTACTTTTCTTGCACTTCTTTCCTCTCTTTGTCACTCTTTACTTCTCTTCACTAGCAAGGTATCTCAAATTCCTTTGCTATTGCTTTACCCCCTCCGTAGCGTTTCTCCATATAAAATCAAGTTATTTCATTAGAGGCCATTGTCTCCAAGAATAACATAGAAGAATGGCAATGGGTGCAATGTCTGTGACAGTAACAGTTGCTGCTGCTGCAGCTGGGATTTGTTTCTTCGACAAAAGCCACTCCAAAGCTCAGGTGATAAACTAGGTCCCTTCATAAATTTCTTTGCTTTCTGTCAACTTGTAGTTTTAGTTTCTTGTTTATGTGGAAGAATCAAACTTAACTTTGTTTGTGTTCAGGAGGTGGGAAGCAGAATGAGATCATCTAGTGAAAACATGGTGGCAAAAGTGAAGAAGACCAGTGAGATGCCAAAATTAGCACCCCAACTGGATGGATTAAACTGTTTTGAAACATTAATATGTCATTGATTCTGCTTGGTCTCCGTGGTTAATTATCTCCAACACTGCCTTGCAGAGGTTGTTATTAATGATAAACCATGGACATCTCCTTCTTTATCCAAAACATTACTTAATGCTTCTGTTGTAGCTAGTCATGCATTGCATTGATTAGACATTACTAAGGAAAAATGCTACAATTTTTAGTCTAAACTTTTTCGGATTATGATCTATTTGTTAATTCTTATGGCATGAAATGAAAGAGGTTGAATTGGAGGAAATCAGGAGAGGGATGTCTCCTATGAAACTTCTCATTCTATTAAGATTAGATATTGTACTTGAGCAGAGCATGCCCAGAAGGAAGATTAAAACCTTAATGGGTGTTTTTAACTGATAATATGGGAGAAGCTATGCCATCAAAGCACAGGACATCATGTTGACAAATATTTCTGCAACAAGCGGGCTGAAATGAGACTGATGAACATAAACAATGACAACAAGTAGAGCAGACGATATATGGACCTCTAAGTATCTGTGGTTTAACTGATTGAAGAGAAAACTTCTGCTTTGAGTAAAAGCATCCTTATCATATCGCATTATCAACATGTTTCTGAAGTATGATACAAAATTATACAACCTCCCACTCCCACTGAAAAGGGAAGAGTGACACTGGTTGTAGTTAAGAAGTATAGCATCTCTCATATTGGGTTTTCAACTTTCAAGTAGTTCCAGCATTAAATCTTGCATTCCTTCCCATGTTTCCAAACCTTCTTCCCACATTGAATATAAATGCCTTTGTCAAGAGTGCTCGATCAAAGCTGCAGGCAAGGATAATAGCCCCACCAAAAATTAGAAGCTTTGGTATGTTCTGGCCCAAAGACTTCTCAGAAGTAGTGGTAGCTGCTTCATTCTCTGACAAATTCTCATCGCCTCCCAAGGATCTCAGCAACACTGGATTTATTTTGGTGTTAATCTGAGCCATGAAAGCAGGCCGAGAAAGTTCTGCCCCTGATGCTCTTGCTTTTTGGTAGGCACGTAAACCAGGTTCAATCTTCTTGACAGTTCCCCACATGCCCTGCCGCACTCCAAGCTTAGCGATTTCCCATGGGATGCCCATGTCTTCATGATGGAAGAGCAACACCTCACAAGCAGTCAGCTGGCCATCACCTCTCTTCGATTCCACTGATCAAGTGTAATTCAAGCGGATTTAGCTGTTAGTCACTATTCTAAGTCTCATGACAAATAATTTACAGACTAGCTCTTCATGGGACAAAGCAGTTGCCCAATGTTCTGGGGTAGTGAGAACCTGAAGAAATGTTTCAAGGTGAAAAAGGATTTATTCAATTAAATGGCAGAAAGGAAGAAGATATGATATACCTGCTCGGATACACCAACTTGAGTAGTATAGGTCAACCCGTTTTGGCTTATCTCGCCTTGGGACAGATGAGCATGGTACTCCCTGAAATTAGTTAGAAGCAGTCAATTAGATTGGAGGTCCAAAATCTCAGCGATGATTGCAAAAGAAAACAAGCAGACATGATAAAAAGCTGATAGATGAGATTGCAGAATGCTCCCATTTGTTAATAAAGAAAGTCTTTTTCCATAGGACCTTGTGGTCCATTGCTATCTCTCTCCCACCAGTGGGAAGTGATTATGAGTTTGAGCAATAGAAAGATGTAGTTCTAGAAGAAAACTGGGTTAGTTTGGGAACTGTAATTACACAGAGAGGGCCTCCCTCATATCCAAAAGGAACGAGTCTTTTCCATCCCTATCATTGTGTATCGTTTCAAACATTTTCTTAGACACAAGTTACTAATTTTTCAATTCACCCGAGTCAATTCAATAGGAACTGGAACTAACAAGAATTACACTCTGAGAAGCACTTTAAGCCATCCCAATTTTAAGCCAGTGAGAATCAATTGTTTATTTGTACCCTACGGTTGGGGATATTCAAAATGGAAGGTTTCAGAAGACCAGTTCAACTTAGTTAGCATCAGCAGCCCTAACTGATTGGCTTGTTAGGCCTCTGTTACCTTACATATAGCTAAACTCAGTTTCCATGTTTGTCCCAACATAAGCTGAGTTAGGTACCAAGTAGATGCTGCTTACTATTATTATTATTGTCCGTCATTTATAAACACAGAATTATAAACTCCTGATTCATACCTTCGTCACACAGAAATAAGATCTGCCCGACTCCCATATTCGTCGACCTATTATGTATTCTCTGTCACTACAGAAAAAGGGAAACTGCAGCAAAAAGCATTGGTAGGAGATAAGCACATAAAACCAGGACAAGCTATGATTTAGAACATATGAAAGGAAGACTCACTTTTCGTATCCAATGCACTAGCATGGTCCCTGTGATGGAACATTCATCTAATATTGCAGAATAAGCAAGCATGTCATCCCACTTTGTCCGGAAGTCATCATCCCAAAAGAAGTCTCTCACTATCTCTGGTGAGGCATCCTCAAAGACGGTACTGCTACGATATTGAGGAGGACCAGTCTAACAACCCATTAAAACAAAAACTGATAAAAAAGATGTCTATATTCCACACATTATCCAATTGCATGAAAGAAAGTAGCAGAAATTCCAACCAAATTACCAAATTGAATCAGAAGAACTGATAAAACTGTTGGCCTGTATTAAATTACTGTTTGAATAAGAGAGAAAAGCCTACCTTGGGATCTCTCCTCCATGCTTGGTATCTCATAGTTGGGGTGGAACGATCCATCATATGTATCCAAGTAGAACCTCCATCTTTAACCTCAACAAGCTGGTTCAAATGTTTTAAATCCTCCTCCGTGACTAGACTAGCAATATTAGACTGCTCTTCATTCAGCTGTGATCTACTAGACAAGTACAAAGAAGAAATTATTGACTTGCCCCAAATTAAGCTCATTCACAATTTTCTTTGATATTATCCAAAACCATTTTATGGTCATCCCATAGAGACAAAATTTCCCATTGTGTGTCAAACCCAACAATTGATAATTCTAAACAAATTAATCATAAAGCAAGAGATCATTGCTAAACTGGAAACTATTACTACAAGGAATCATAGATTTTCTCTTTCTTGCCTCGTCCAATTCTAATATTTGCACAGATTCAAGTTTCCCATCAGATACCATACTATCATACCATAAGGTGTCATGATGGCACAAGCAACCCTCAGTCAATCAAACTGATTACGAATCTCAACTCCACAAAATTATTGAGAACTTTACCCGTTATTTAACAATAGACAAAACAAATACTACTGACAAACTTCTAAATTCATTCAAAGATTGCAAGGCTCATTTCATTTAATCTTCTATTGATGCAGAAAACTAGACACTTTGTGATACGGGCTCGTACCTGCAATCTTCATATTCTGTAGGTGGCACATGAGATAGATTCTGATGCTCTAAATTGTTGTTGTTGTCCACAACCCAAGAAGCTTCGCAATTTGAAGACCTCACCAAGAACGAATTCCACTGCGAGAAAGAACCAAAACTCTTCAATACAGACATCAAAGATCGACAAGGTGAAGATGGCAACGATGACTCCAATATCTTTGATGCACAAGAAGTCAATTTGTCACTTTCCCTGGTCACCCATTTAGGCTTCCATGACCATCCAATAATTAAGCCAATAAGAAAAGATATCCACAGCGGACCTAAAAAACCCACCGTTTCTGTACATAAACCTATCATTGAAGAGGGATGCTCTAAAATATCATATAAAGCTTCAATCAAGGCCATAGCATCACATAAACTCACAAAACCTAAATGGTCAATCAATAAACCTCTAAATTTGCAATCTTTGTTGTCTTTGGTAACAAAAGTTTCAATCTTTGAATCAAGTAATCAAGGAAATTGATAACTCAAGAGATAGACAACAAAGAGTTTCAAGAAATATAGAGAAATACCAAACCCTGAAAAGAAATATCACACGAATTTGGTAAGAAGAAGACAAAGAGGGTGTCTGTGTTTGTTTTTATGCGTGAAGATGATTGAGACATGAGTGGTGGCAAGAAAAGATTCTGTGAGTGGATAAGGGAAGAGGTGGGCTGGGTTCACGTCACTATGCTGTTTTTGAGAACTTCGCAAAGCAATCTTGTTCGGTGGAGGAGAAATCTTCTAAAAGGACCTGTGTGCATAGAGGAGGGGGGGCCCAGTTGGGGAAAAAACAGAGAGAGAGAGAGAAAGGATTGGTGGAGACTGACTTTAGTTAAGTACTCGTCTACCAACTCCGCCTCACCTAGATTTGTCTTAATATATATGTATCTTTGGATGTTCTAAGAGCATCTCTCACAATGAAAAAGACAAATGAATAATTAAAAATAAAAAATTAATATTTTGATTTTTCTTTGTTTGTTTTACATAAAGAAGTCAAACAAAATATTAAAATGTCTTTTTTCTTTTACAAATATTATTTCTACATATCTCTTTAAAGAGCCAAAACTAACAAAGTGGGACCACTAAAAAAATAGACCAATTAAATATAGACATGTAGAAAAAAATAACATTAAACAATATTAAGAAATAATAAAACACTTATTTTTTTCACTCCAATATAAATGGCTCTTCAAATGGCTTTTTTCCATTGGAATAAATATGGTAAGATAAGCTATAT